AAAAATAATTAGCAAAAATATCTCAGGAAACAGGGCTGGGAAGGTGGCTCAATGGTACAGCGCTTGCCTTGCATGCGTGAGGCCCTGGATTCGATTCCTCTGCACCACATAAGCAAAAAGAAAAAGGCCGGAAGTGGCGCTGTGGCTCAAGTGGTAGAGCACTAGCCTTAAGCTGAAGAGCTGAGGGACAGCACCCAGGCCCAGAGTTCAGGCCCCACGACCGGACCTCCCCACCACCCCCCAAAAAAAGAAAAAAAATCTCAGGAAAGATATAGTCTACTGAAGCATGGGGCCGGAGAAGCAAAATTTTACTGTTGGACATCTTTTGATTTGTGCTGATTCCAGGGCTTGACCTCAGGACCTGGGCTGGAAAAACAAAATTTTCTGTTAGATACCCTTTTCTTTTTGGGCCACTCTTGGGGTTTAAAAGTGGAGCCTGGGCAAAAGTGGCTCATACCTGTAATCCTAACTACTCTAGATGCTGAGATCTGAGGCTCAGAGTTCAAAGCCTGCCCAAGCAGGGAGATCTGTGAGACTCTTGTCTCCAATTAACCATCAAAAAGAGAGAAGTGGAGCTGTGGCTCAAGTGGTAGAGAGCTGGCATTGAGCAAATGAGGTTAGGGACAGCATCCAGGCCTTGAGTTCAAGCTCCAGGGTTAAGGTTGTACTGTGAACACTGACTACATGGATGGCAATGATGCCATCTACATCCTTGTCATGCTAGCCTGAGTGGAGAGCCCCCCCACAACAAATACTTGTTCAATGAACAGAAGAAGAGTAGAATATTAATTATTATTTGCTAATATTTCTAAGAATTTGTTCTGTTCTCCCCATCAGCTTCTTTAACACTCTCAATTTCTTTGGATTCTGCTCTACAAATACAGTGTTTTTCCAAACATTTTCTTTTTATTTGCTATTCCAAAGCCCAAAGCAGAATACCTAGCCAAACAGCATCTGAGATTATGTAGGTCTGGGGCAGAATAAATGCAATTAGGTAAGGATTTTTGCCAGGATCCCTTAGTTGAGTTTCTAAATAAGAGACAATGACTACTGTGCTTTATGTATACTATGTGCTAACCTCTGTCCTACGTGCTTTCCTGTGTTATTTTACTAAATTCTCACAACTACCTTATGAATATCTCCCTGGAAACCTATGTCATTATACATGTACTATCTCTTAACATGGCTCAACACATCTTTATGTGACAAGTCAGGTTTCATAGGCATTGAAATTGAAATATGGCCTTAGCAGTTGAATTACAAGGTGTATTACCTATACCAATGCCTAAACCCATCTTTCCTCTGTTGTAACTTGGAGCTTCAAAAGAAACAATATCTGTCCCATAGGATTAAACAGTTTAAAGCCTACACAGCCTCAGCACAGGGTCCAGTGGAGTAAACAATCAATAACCATTAGTTCTAATGAGCTTACAATTCAGCATACACCATTCTAAATCTGGTCTCTGTTTTTGCCACAAAAGTGCTAATCATCACATTTGATCTTGTTACCTTCAGATGCTTCAAATTCTTTAGACTCTTTTTTCCACTGTCTCCAGAGAGGCCTGGCTTTCCCAATAAAATTAAAGCAAATAGGCCATGGGTGGAACTCAGTGACAGAACATGAGGCCCCGGGATGAATCTCTAAGACCTAAATTAAAATAAACACCATCTCTCAACTTTTCCTTTCCTCCCCAAAACAGCATGCCTTGATTTCACTTTTTCTTCTAGCTGCTGCGTCTGGAGAAGCTTTTAGGTTGAGTGACTTGTCTGTTTACAGTTACTCATGTGGGAGCCCTACCATTCTCTTTAAAATGGATTTCTTAACTGGGCATCTGTGGCTCACATCAATAATCCTAGTTACTCCAGAGGTTCAGATCTGAGGATCATGGTTCAAAGCCATCACAAGAAGGAAAGTGCTTGAGATTCCTATCTCCAATTAACCACCAAATAAGCTAGAGGTGGAGGTTTGGAGTGAAAAAGCTGAGGGACAGTGCCCAGGCTCTGAGTTCAAGCCCTAATACCTGGCACCAAAAAAAAAACAAAAACAAAAACTTAAAGAAAACCGCTGACAAACATATTTAAGTTCTAAGGCTTTTTGGTTTTTGTTCTTTTTTCCCCCATCCCTTTGTCTGCATCACTCACTGCTCTTCCTGCTTTTCAGGTCATTCCAACTCTCCACCAGACACCTGCTTCTGCTCTCTTCCCCATCTGTACTTACTGCAGCTACTGTGGGTGGATTATGAGTTCTACCACTGGTTTTCCCATAACCTGGAGATCTCATCCACTCTCAAGATTTCAGGCACACACATGATTCTCACAGAACACCTATTGTCTCCATTCGTCTGCCAGCTTCTAGTCCCTCAGTACCTTAACCTTGCTACAGGATCAGCAACAGTCTAAGTCCTGCCCCTGTCTATCTAGGCCATCTAACTAAACTATTTCATCTCTGGACTTCTCTTCTATAATTATAAAGTTAACAATAGGTAGAAGATTTTCCAAGGGCCTCACAGCTTCTGAAATATTCTGAAATTGTAAAGTTTACATTATTACCATCTATCAGTTTCTGAAGCTGGAACTCTCCATGCTATCTTCTAATCTTCCTTTACTTTCTACCTCTCCAAGTAAGACTCTCTTTCTAACACCCTTCAAATACATCCCCACTACCATGGCCTTTAGTCCAGGTCAGTATCACCACCCTTAGCTACAAAGTCCTTTATCTTCTGTCAGGATATCTGTCCCTGCCTTTCAAGTTAACCATGATTCAGCATCAGAGGCTTCAGAAAGCTGTTCTTGGCCATCTTGTGCAATACCGCAATACTGTACTGTACCATCTTGTGCAATCTTAACTGCAGTACTGTACTGTATGAATCTGTAGCTAGCCAATTGCTCCACAGCTGGTAAAGTCCTTGTGGTGCCATCCCTTACTGATTTGGTTCTGCATCCCAAGCATTAGAGGAGAATGAATGTCGAAAACTTGGAAAGAGATCTCTCACACAATTGTCCTCCTTTCACATGAGATTTTTCCTAATATGATGGACTCTGGTCATTATTAATCAATTCTCTCTCTTTCTTTGCTCTAATGTCCTTATGCATAATATGAAAATACCTGGCTTTTAGTTATTATTCACATGCTCAATAGACATTCATCAGGTGTGTCAAAACTGTTACAAAGAAGCAGTGATAAACATATAAGTCCCTGCTATCAAAAACACTCCAGATGAGGGAAAACACAAACATCCATAGAAAAGTGTAAGATGGTAAGAGGCATGACCAGAGAACTGGAATGGGAACTAAAACAGCAAGTGAGTTAAGATCTAAGGGGAAGAATGCTTGCAGACAGAAGTATGGAGTTTGGAGTATCTGAAAGGATAGAAATGCAGGTAGTGTACCTGGCACATAGTAATAAAGATAGGAAGGTGAAGAGGAATTTCTCTCTTTCCGCAGTGGTAGGGATTGAACCTCATGTTTCATGCTCGCCGAGCAAGTACTGTATTACTGAGCTATATCTGGAGACCTCTAACCACCCCCCCCCCCACACACACATAGTTGTTTGTGGTAGGTGTGTGCACGAGCTTGAATTCAGGGCCTCAGGCTCTCCCTTGGCTTTTTCTACTCCAGGCTAGTGATCTACCACTTGAGCTACACATCCATTTCTGGCTTTTTGCTGATTACTGCAAGTAAAACTCTCATAGACCTTGCTGCGGTGATTGGCTTAAAATCACCATTATCAGTTCTCAGCCTCCTGAGTAGCCATGGATGCCCAGCTAAAATACCACATATTCTTAAGAAAACCAGTATACGTTATACATTTTTCTCCTTAACTACATTATCTTCAAGTAATTATTTCAAAGGCAATTAATAATCCTACCTTTACTTCAATGGTCTATTTCTTGCATTATATCTCACAACAGGTTACCATTTGCAGAAAAGGGGTTTTGTTTATAGTTCACAATGTTTGTATAAAACAACTTCTAAGTTCAGGAATGTGAAATGTTTACCATAGCCACATTTATTTTTCAGTTGTAAACGTATTCCTAAAGCAAGTATTCCAATTGCCTTTCACTGTGAAATCACAGAAGAGCAAGGTGTTTTGCAAGTCAATTTAGGAGAAAAACAGAAAGCCTGGTTAAGCCCAATTTAGGTAAGCTTAGGCTCAGCAGGCCTAAACACACAGAGAGAGCCAACTACTCACCCTCCAGGGTCTGGCACTGTAATGTTAACAGAGGCAAACAAAGGGACCCAGGGGAGCAGAGGGAAGATTAGGGGTCCCCACTAAAACTGGGCCATTGGTCTCTTTTTAAAAACCCACACAGAGGGACACATACCAGGCTAAAAAGTATTAGGTCATTCTTGGCCACTTGCTCATTTCTACCCAACCAAGACTTACAGATGGAGAAGCTTTATTACTAAAAGGCACTATTTTGAAACAAAAAACATAGGAAGGCACACAGCAACGCTCAAATTGGGGGGATCCCTAAAAGGATCGGTCCTAACGGGGCCAGTGATGACTCTTTCAGGAGAGAGTGTGTTGGGACAAGATAAAAAGGTGTGGGCCCCTACCAGGTTCCAAGATTAGTATCACCAGTTCAGTATCACACATGAGGATCACAAGTGTGACAGTGCAAAATGCTCACACCACAGACAGGTCATGTTTGCCGGATAACAACCTTCAGGTCTCTGGATCAGCTAGTATGGATGGACAGCAGGAAGGAGGGGATTGCCTGTGCACTCTCTTGTGATGAAACCAAGTTTCCAGCGCAAAGCGCTAGTGACTCCACTCAGTAATTATCAACACACCAAAAACAGCATTTTGTTAGGCCAGTGCCAAGCCTTGCGGAATGCCTCTGAACTAGATTAAACCACTAGACTAGTAATTAAACTAACTTTATATGGGAGAGCTCTCTTGCTCAAACTTGAGCAATCCTGCTCACTTCAGGAAAGCAATTTTCACACAAAAGTGGAAATAGACAACTTCTGAGCCTGAGTTTCAGCTCAAATACCATGGCTGGCAGCTCTGCTCACTCAGATACGAGATCAGGATACCAGCTACTTCCACAGGCCTTAAAGAGAATTAAGATTATAAAGTAATATGAAAAAGCACTAAATCCTATTCGTGATCATCTGCAGACATTTTAATAGCCTGCTTCTGTAATAGCAAACAAGTCCTTACCATTGTATCCACCTAGACATTTTGGTAACAGTCACTACCATAGTATCTGAGGACCAGACAGCCTGTTGAAAGGCTGCTTGGCATCCTGTCAAAATGGCAAGCTTCTGCATCCTGTTACAGACTGCAGAAGCCTAAAAAATCCAGAAAGATGATTTCTTTCAGACTCACCTAACTATGCCACATGACAATACTGTTTATTTCCAATAACTGATAATGAATTGGTAAACAACATATGTATAAATTCTGTGTTCCCTGCACAATTGCAGAATGGGCATCTTAAATGCAAAGAACAAATCAGCATGTTGTATTACTAAATACTACAAATGCCTAAATAAAAAAACATTACCCCTTAAGATCAATCCCCTAAATAGGACAGTATACTGACACTTGCAAAGGTTCAATTATGGAGGTACTTTTGCAAACCCTAGACCTTGGAAGTCACTTAGGGAAGACAGGTTTGCCTGAAGTAAGGCCTATTTTTTTTTTTTTTTGGGTCGGTCGTGGGGCTTGAACTCTGGGCCTGGGCGCTGTCCCTCAGCTCTTCAGCTCAAGGCAAGTGCTCTACCACTTGAGCTACAGCACCACTT